CCAGCCCAGTTCCCATGTCTGTCTCACATTGTGCCTAGCCATGGTAGGCTCACCCTGTCAAGTGGCCTCGTTCCTGTTCAGGGATACATCACCCTCGCCGGACTGCAACACCCTCACTGGACTGCAACATCCTCACTGGACCGTACCACCCTCACCGGACTGCAACACCCTCTCTGCTATTCCTCATTCTGCTGTCTGAAGTCCCGCCAGGGTCCTTCCCTCATCATTCTGAATGTCTCCTTCCTGAAGCCGCAGTTACTAGTACAAGGAGAATGATGCTGTCTTCACTCCTGAACCCCACACTGTTAGGGCCAATCACCCATTGCTTCTGATGTCTGGTTGTTGTTACCTTTCCATGTGTTTTCCTTCATCTCTCAGCACTGACTGTAACGGCAGGATCTGTTTTCTTCGTTCTGACATAATGGCGAGTACAACGACTAGACAAGACGTTCAGTAACTAACCTTATTTGCATATTTAGTGCTCAGGAGTACAACAGAACGGCCAAAGTAAAGACTCGAGAGAAGTTGGGAGTTTGGTCTGCTGGCAAATTCTCTCTTCTACTGAAAGACACATCTGGAAACTCTCTCTGTGAAATGATCAATGCTAGTCCAGCCTTCAACATCCACAAAAAACTCCATGGTTTCAGAGCAAAATAAACTAGCCTCCGTCAATGAGTATCTGGTGAGAGTCAGCTGAGTAAGGGGCAGACGAAACCAGATACGCCTAGATCTAGGTTCCAAACACTTTCTGAAGGGAAAAGCTACTTCGAGGTGGCATAAAGGCTGTTGATACAACTATGAGCACCAGTGGGGTTTTCTTCCTAACCTTAATTCATGCTAAACATTATCAGATGAGAGAGAGCTAACAGACATCTGAGCACTGGTGCATACCTGAAGCCAAGGGCAGAGGCAAAAGACTGATGTGGGTCATCTGGATCCAGAAGGTTCCACTTTGCTTCATTCTAAGTATCAGATAACAGAATATTCAATATTTTTTTTTAAGGAAACAAAGCAGGTCAAATAAGTAGACTCTGTTTCCAAATAGAATCAAGAATAGGCGCTACGAGGTTTGGGTTTTGCTGTTGTTTGTTTGTTGGGGGCGGGGGAGGGGGCATGTGTCACATACACAGAGTTCATACGCAAGAATTCCTGCAATACTTTAGTTTCTTCAAGGTGAGTGGGAGGGTGAAATTTATTTATGAAGTTAGCACTCTGCAAAAGGCACACTGTCCATCTGCTATAGAAATGTACCATAGGTGAGCCAATAAAAAGTCCATGGCGCCCATCGGCAGTTCACGCACGGCCTCAAGGACACAGTGCACAGAAGCTGGCAGGAGCTAGTTCTTGTTTCTTCATACTCTCTCTGGGTGAGAGGTAGGGGGAGAATGCATACGTTCATTCCATATTAGATTAGCCTCTCAGGCTGACTGAAAAGAAAAGAAACCAAAGAATAGACCAGCAACAGGCTTGGGGGAGGGGTGTTCCTTATAGGACAGATGGGCCTCCTTCCCTCTGGTACTTCAGTGGAGGCAGTGGACAGGTAGTTCCCAGGCAGGCCGCAGGCACCTCCAGCTGGCACCATCCCTAGGGAATCTTTCCAAGGAGACAGAATGATTGCTGGGAGCACACTCATTCTTGGACACCTAGAAACATACTATACATGAGGTGGAATGACTTTGAAGGCAAATCCTATAAAGCTATGGTGATTCAGCTCCCCAAGGGATGCCCAAGCAATATGTGAAGAGGAAGAAGAGGAGCAGGGGGAGGAGGGGGAGAGGGGGGAAAGGGAGGAGAGAGGAGAAGGGGAAGGAGAAGGCTGGCAATACAATTATGTAGCTCACACTTTCCAGGTCTTTCATTGAACCCATGTGGAATCTTAGAGGGCAGAAATTATGCCCATTTCATAGACACCAGAACCCAGGCCTTACAGGATTCAGTCACTTCCTTATGCAAAAGCAACCTGCCTAACTGCTAAGTCCTAGGACCAAGATCCTAATCCATCAGTCTAGCTTGGAACAAGTTCATATTCACCAAGCACTTAAGCCTTGCAAGGCTCTAAATGATTACTTGGATTGTCTGTTTTCCCTGTAGTGTGCACAATAGCCATTTCTTGTATGCTAATTGTGCAGATGCTGGCCCGCTGACTGCTAAGAAAGCTGTATTCCTGGGGCCCCATTCCAGCAGTTTAGTTTGAAACAAGGACACTTAGTCAAAGCACATTTAGGCAGGCCCGGTGATAGAGGCCTGTAATCCCAGCTGCTAGGGAGGTTGAAGCTGCAAGACTGTGTGTTCAATGCCAACCTGAACTACAGAGTTAAAAGCCTGCGTGGGATGCTTAGTAACAAGACACCGTCTCAAAACAAAAGAGGACTGGGTATGTAGCTCAGTGACAGAGTGCTTGCCTGAAATGTGTAAGGTCCTAGGTTCGATCCCAGCGCAGTACAGAAAAGAAGAAATGAAGAACACGTCATAGTTTAGATGTGGAGCTCAAAAACACTTCAAGTGTTCTCGGAAAAGGTAGACAGAGGGGCCCTCAGAGTTCTTGGTCTTCTGGCATGCTGCCTGCTTGTCTTCAGGGAGGTAGTCTCCATCCAGTTCCCAATCCCCTCTTCCACTCTGCCACCCTCCTCCCTTGTCCTCTTCCCTTTGCCTGCCGACAAATGTTCCAGACTGTCCATATCCAGAAAGCGAAAGACCACAGGCTGGACAGCACACAGCCAGACAGCAGCATTATACAAATACCACCACACAAACATGATCTAAGGAAAGCAGGGGGCCAATGCTAAGGAAATGCGGGGCCAGTCCTGACCTTTGAGACGTCTTCTCGGCACATAAAGACAGAACTTGAAAGACAGTCAATCTAAAGAAAGTCAGGGGCTAGAGGGGTGGCTCAGGGGGTCAAGGGCTTACTGTACAAGCATGAGGACCTGATTTGGGATTCCCGACATCCACATAAAGCCACATGTGACTGTGGACACACCTGTAACCCCAGTGCTACTGGGGAGGGGGTAGAGATAGGCAGAGCCCGGGGGCTCACCAGCCAGCCAAGATAGCCAAAATGGCAAGCCCGAGGTTCAGGGAAATACCCCCACCGTGTGAAAAAAAAAGGAGTTGGAGAAGCAATTGAAGGACACACTCAATATCAACCTCTGGCCTTCCACATGTGCCTACATGAATAAGGGTGCCCACTCACACATGGGCGCCCCCAAACACAACAAATAACCAATATCTTTTAACATTGAAATAAAGTTCAAAATGATAAAACAAACAAAAATTCTTGAGAAAATAAACACTGAGACTCCTGAATTTGGAAAACACAAATAGCAGACTTAAAATTCACCAGAGCAGAGTTATTTTTATATCAGGGCCATACATGGTTTTCCCCTAAAGTAGGAGTAGAGAAAAATGTGGAGTTTTTGTTTTGTTTTGTTTTTCTTAAACCCTCTCCAAATTTACAGAAATTGCATTTTTGTAGTCTAATTTCCACACAAAATTTTAATTTAAAAAAGATTGACTTTGTGTGCATGACTGTGTTATCTGTTACATCATGTACATGTCTGCTGCCCACGGAGATCAGAGAGGGCATCAGAAGCCCTGAAACTGGAGTTACAGATGGTTGTGAGCTGCCATGTGGGTGCTGGGAACTAAAACCCGGTCCTCTACAAGAGCAGCAAGTGCTCTAAACCTTCTCTCCCCAAATTTAATTTTTGCCAAGCATAATGCCTCAAAATGGTGTTGGTATGAAGAGAGGCTGAATGCATCCTGAAATAATTGATCTCAGTAAGAGGATCCCCATGAAGAGGACCAGATCTCTCAGCTTCATACCACCACAACAAATACTTCAGAACAACCAGCCTAGAAGAGGGAAGGTTTATTTTGTCTCAGTTTTCAGAGGTTTAAATCCACTGGGAACTGGCCCCATTTGCCTTCAGGCCTGTGCCAAGGCAGCACATCATATTGTCCAGCAAGCTGTAGAACAAAAGTATTCACTTCATGTCCGCAAGAAAGCAAAAGAGAGAGAGCATCCTAGTTCACACCTGCAATCTCAACACTTAGGATCCTGAAGGCAGGAGACATGCTGTGAGTTTGAGGCCAGCCTGGGCTACATAGCAGAAACCTGTCTCAGAAAAACAACAAGAAAAGAAAGGAGGAGCCAGGGTCCCAACATCTCCATATGAAAGGCGGAGCAGCCCTAAGGAGGCTCCAAGTCTGTAAGGTTTTACCACCTCACAACAGTACCATGGGCTGGAGACCAAGCCTCTACCATCAGCTCCAGGTCTGGGGGAAGCAACCATCCAGACACAGGACCAGTTTGGGAAATGTTCTCCCCAGGTAGGCTGATACGGAAAGATGCTCACCCTCAAACCACTTCACTTGGCTCAAAGGAAAACAGAAAAGAATAAACTACTTTTTAAAACAGAATTCAATAGTCTTTCAAAACTGTATTTTCTTTCTTGTCATGACAATCACGAGATCCAAAAACCAATGAATTTCAGATTCTGATCCCACTTTTTCAAGTTGAAGACAGTGTTCCAAGCCTCGGCTCTCGGGAGTCATACGCATAAAGACCTGACACATGTCTTATTTCCATTGGGTATTTAATAGCAAAACCTACAACTAGAACCTTTAAGAGTCTCATGTAGTAAATATTCTATTTTTGTGGGTAATTATGGACCTGTCTTCACTTATTTAAAATTAATGAAGTCATACATTCAAAAAGGTCTCTAAAGCTGTGCAACAATCACAAATATCTGGTTCTTGGAACCAACCTTGGCTTCTTGGATCAACAGTAAAGCCCCATTACAAACCACAGCACCAGTGACCACCAACAAGACACTACATGTTCTCCATCTTACACATGCCGCCTTCCATCCCCAAAGAAAATCTTGGTGAAAATGCACATCTCTTCCCTTTAACTAGGAAACATAACCTTCCCACCTCTCATCTGCTTCCAAACCCCATCAGACACAATGCCGCAGAGGTGAGTCAGAGGGACTTACAGTTGAAGATGCCTGGAGGTGGATGCTCGGTCACCAGGAGACAGTTCTCTTCGTCACTGTTATCCCCACAGTCATTCTGTTGGTTACAGACCAGTGAACCAAGGTACAAGCATTTGCCGCTGGTGCAGGTGAATTTGCACTCTGAAAAGGCACAAAACAAAGCATGAGGCAGTCGGCTTGCTTGGTACTCAGTAGTCACTGTTATTGCGCCCCCCTCCCCCACTTCCCATATGCACACCATGATGATGTGGGAACTGAGATTATCTAGAGAGCCCAAGGAAATGAACTCAGAAGGGCCTTCTGGGTGAGGCTGATCCTGCATTCAAAACACCACAGTCTGAGGCCTGCCTGCATTACCCACAAATGAGTCCATGGATGCCCCCTTCCTCCCTTCCTTTCTTGCCCTACAAGACTTACTCTGCTTCAAAACAAATTTGACAGCCTCCCACACCCCACATTCCAACAAGAGGCTCAGGTAGAAGCTGGGAGATCCAACTTGACTCAGGAGGCTCCAAAATTTCACTTCCAACTTATTGTTTTGTGGCAAAATATTCAAACCATTTTCTAGCATTCATTCCTCTCATGCCTAAGAAAAAGTTAATAATATTTTTTATAAAATATAATATACAGGTTATAAAATATATTATATATATTATATTTTATAATGTAAGACAGGAAAAACCCAATGTTCTGCTACCTAAGAAGCATGCATGTGAAGGGTCAGACTGATGGATTATAAAATAGTATGGAGCCCACACCCAACTCCCTGTCAGCTGTACTGAACACAGGATCCCTGAACAGTACAAATCTATATTTGAAAATGGAATTCACCTAAATGGGACTCTAAAATAGAGTTTCCAACTGAACACATTATAAACAATTTTAAGCCATTAAGGGTGAGAGATTACACAATGGGTCATATAAACACCCATGACATCACCTTGGACACTTAAGTACCCACAGAAACTAAGAGGCTTCACACAGGGTACATGGCTAACAGAAGGAACTTCAGGAAGAGGCACAGGTTCCCAGTGATGGTGACTATCACAGCCTCCTCAACTGTGAAGCCCAATTCCTAGCTCAAAGAAGAGCAGTAGCCATGGGTCCAAGAGTCAAGTCATTTCAACTCCAACCTTCCATTAAAATAAAGTTCCAAATAAGACAATGTCCATAGTCTACCAATGTCTTCCCAGCTCTGCTAACCGTGAGTAGGGTTGTGCTAGTTGAGACCATCCAAGAGGAAAATATTACCTGTCACAAAGAAAAGCAGTTAAGTCAAAGAATTTTTGTGAGTCTTTATGAAAAGGGCATTATGACTTTTCCATTGGTTCACAATCTGAGAGGATATAGGAAAAAAAAAAAAAAAACCATTCAGACCCCGGCCGTGTGTAAAACCACAGGAGAATGGGGTCCAAGTGCATTCCCCAAGCTCTAAGTTGGCTGCACCACCTTGGGTTAGAAACTGTGTGCTGAATGTGATCAGGTTGCACAGTACAGATGTGGTCAGCACTGAACTATCACCCCGTATGGTGGAAAGATCAAGATCCAGATGTTCAGAATCTCATTTATGAAGTGACAATTTTTAACTTAATGGAAAAAGGGAAGAATTTATCTTCCTTTCCACAAGGAATATTGAACTTCAGATGAATGCCAAGCACGAAAAGAACATTAGCCCGAAACAAGTTGTCTCGGGGTCCCAGAAATGGTCAGACTCTAACTGAAGAGTCTGCCATTGCTATAGTTTAAAAGGCTCTCGCGTTAGACGGCCACAATCAGGTTCATACGGAACCTCGAAGCAGCAAGAGAATATAATGACATGAGGTTGATTCAGTCATTCCTATACCCGATACTCAATATTTTGTGCCTGCTGTATACACTGAGGCATGGAAACATGGGGCTGATAATACAGGCAGGGCCAGACATGGTGGTGCAGGCCTGTAATCGAAGCACTCAGGCAAGTGATGCACAAGGCTTGTGAGTCTGACACTAGTCTGGGCTACACAATTAGAACCTGTCTCCAAAAATAAATTAAAAGGAGAGGGAAAAAAACTAGCCCCCATTAAAGAATTTACAGCACGGATTCTCCAAAAATGTGAAGAGTCGGGAAGGGGGAGGTGGCTCAGTGGAGCAGTATTTGCTATGCTTGCTGTGAAGTATGATAATCTGGGTTTGGATCCCAGCAACCATGTACAAAAACTAGGAATGATAGCCTGGACCTGAAACACCAGCAAGGAAGAAGCAGAGAGAAGAGGACTCCAGGGGCTTGCTGGCCAGACAAATCTAGCCAAGCCAAGCCAGTCCAGCAAGCTCTAGATTCACTGAGTCTATCTCAAGTAATAACAATTATTATTATTATTATTATTATTATTATTATTATTATATAATGTGGAAGGTTCAAGGAAGACATACAGTGTTGACCTCTGGCCTCCACACATACAGGCACGTGTACATGCACACGGGCACACACACACAATACAAATAAAATGAAAATATGAACTGATTCTTCTAACTCCTCCCAGGGCACACATCTTCTTCCTTACATCCTTTGTATCCGTTGCGCTAGTCAGTCTGTACTCAGTGAACAACAGACTTGTTCGATAACTGAATAATCTAATCTGAGCCTCATCAGAACCCTTGATTCAGGACACCCTATTGGTTAGGCTGCTGGCAGAAGGAGCCTCGGGAAGAGATCCAGGGCTCCCACCAGTACTGTCAACAGACTCCTACAATCACCATTTATTCATGTTTCTCTTGTCTCTGTTTCAAGATCTGCTTTTGGACTTGCCTATGATAAGCATGCCTATCCATGTAAATTGTCAAAACAGCTGGTTTTCTTAAGTGGGCTTAACAGCGTCCTAGAAGGGCTTGTGTTATGATATGCTTAGTGAGCTCTTCCTTATAAGATAATGATATCAACCCATTAAGTTTCAAATTCACAAAATCCCAAACTTCTCAATGACAAGTCTTGAGTCAAACATCAAACTAAGTCTATCACATGACCGCCTGAATCAAAATGAACAGAATAGATATCTGAATTTGTTAGCTCTCGTGTGTTGCAGGAAAATACTCAAAAAATATACTATGATGCAACTAAGCATTAAGTAGAAAAGCTATTAGAAAATTTTAATAGAAAAAAACTTAAATAGAAAAGCTGGAATGAAATTTCAGACCAGGGTAAAGTATCTGTTGATGTTAACACTTCTAGTGTTAATAAAGGCAGGCTTCCAACACGATTCAAGCTCTCTTATGAAGGCCATCTCCACTACACTTTCCTACCCCAAACCTCACATATTCTGGTCTTCTAACAAGTAGAGTACCTGTGATATTCCAATAAATTGAAAACTCTTACCCCAGCTGCACATTGGAATTGTCTAAGCATCTTTCGAAACTATTGATACCTGGGAACCAGCCCAGGCCACTGCTCTCAATGGCTTGAGGTGTAGCCTAAACAGTGGGTGTTTCTAGAGTTTCTTTGAAGTGATTCTGATGGTGATTCAAGACTGCCCCTGAGAAGTAGACAACTCACTTACATGAAGTCCTCTCTTTGGCTAAGAATATTTTACTAAAATATTTCATTGATATTTTTTTAATTTATTAAAGTTTAAAATTTTAAATACACAAGTACTTAGGTAATTTTTGGATACAGTACCCAGTCCCTACAGCTCTTTCTGTCAGTGGGATATTTCAGAAAATGAGAAACCACAGAACTTTAGGATCTATGCTGCTGAAGTATAAGAACGGATGCTTTTTGATACCTAGACTACACTTTCATACCCCAGAACTAGGAAATGTTTTCAAAGGAGTGAAACTCAAACCAGAGAGAGAAGACAGATAAGGTGCTTTTTCTTTACTGTTTGCCTATTCTTTCTGGACCTTGTTGAGTATTCCTACCAATTTGGACATTTAGAGAAGCCAGTGATTATTAAATATTAGAAACATTTGATGACAAAGCCTCACTGATTTCATATGTATAATGCAAAATGAAGAACTCAGAAACCAGTGTTAAAATCACTTATGATATTCAAATAACTCCTCTTCTTGAAAAGAAAAAAAAAGCTTTTCAAATGAAGAAAATAGCATTTCTTTATGCCATAATTCTCTTTGATTTCTTAGAAAAATCGTTAGAATGAAGGCTGGCAAGATGGCTCAGTGGACAAAAGAGCTTGAAGCCAAGCCTGAGTTCAATCCTCAGAACCCACATGGCAGAGAGAAAGAGTGCCAACTCCTGGAGTTATCCTCTATCTTCAGACACCTGCCATTGCATGCACTCACACACACACTAACAACAACAATGATAACAAATTAAAATGGCTACAGTCAATATAGTCATAATAGAGGTCTCTCCAAATTTCAGGTCTTTCCTAATCTCTATACAAAACTTTGACCAAATCTTTTCAGGGTCTTAGAACCTCTTAGAAACTCATAGTTTAACATTGACAAGAACTTAGACACACACTGGCCCACGTCTTCACCTCAGAGTCCCTGGGCTACCCAAAGTTGAAGAACAAAATTTCAAGCAAATTGAGAGAAAACCCTTTTTATTATCCTGAATGTCATTCTAATGATGCACAAACCAGTACTATCCAGCTAGACCATACCATGCAGGAGAAGAGAAAGGAAATGAACAGTTAAGAGAACTTTTTCTAATATTTCGTCAACTTTGAGAAAACAAGGAATTTTAGATCCCGATACCAGAACAGAAACAGAACATCCTAGTATTTCATGTGAATTCCAAAGTACTGCAAAAATAGCTATATTTTAACAGCAGGACCTAGGCCCCAGCAGCTCAGGAATCTGAGTATTCTAAACCCAAATGCAGAGCCGTGGAACAAATCTGCTTCACAGGGACTAAATTTAATCCATTTGGTAGAGTCAACATTCTAGTAGTTAAAAGGCAACACAAAGTTGCTCTTGATTTTTCCTACACTCTTCTAAAGTTTGGTTTTCACAGATGGAATCTCAATCACAAAATCAGGACCTATAGACGGCGTTAGCTCTCCGCTGGAAAAATCAGCCTTTTCCGTGAACTGGCAGAGCCGTGTATCGCGAGCTATTTCTGTGAACGTTCATCCAGCAACACTGACTCATTTGGTTCACACATCTACCATTCACAAACCTGCAAACAGTGAATCCGGCTCCTT